TTTTATATGACCTTTATGATCCAGCCTTGCCCTCCCAGATCAGACCTATCCAGGGCTTACTCAACTCATTGGTCTCTGACAGCACAAGGAGGTGGGTCGGGAATGCATCCTTGAGGCCTCGGCCTGGGCAGCAAGCAGCCTCCCTCACTCACAGAGTCCTCCTCCTCCACCAGGGTTACAAGAAGCTGGCTGCACTGAAGCTGGATGACATTAGTCACTGTCTGACAGAGCAGCAGGAGGACTTTGCTAGCAAGACCGCTCAGTACCAGCAGGAGATGCGGTACCTCCATCGGATGCTGCAGGACAAGCAGGATGTCCTGGATGAGGCGCTACAGGAGAAAAGGTAGGGCTGCCCCACCCATATCGCGTGTGTGTTTTTGGATGTTGGTAGAATTTTCCAATAAAACCCTCTAGATCTGTTTTGTTTATTTAATTGCTTGCTTTTGCTTTTGTATTTTAGTCTTATCTGAATTTGGAACTCCCTTCATATGTTTTTTAAAAAATATATTTTATTGATTTTCCAGAGAGGAAGGGAGAGGTATAGAGAGTTAGAAACATCGATGAAAGAGAAACACCGATCAGCTGCCTCCTGCACACCTCCTACTGGGGATGTGCCCGCAACCAAGGTACATGCCCTTGACCAGAATCGAACCTGGGACCTTTCAGTCCGCAGGCTGATGCTCTATCCACTGAGCCAAACCAGTTAGGGCCTCCATATGTTTTTTAAAAATGTTTAATCCTCACTAGAAGGCATGTTTAGTTTTATTTAAAAAAAATCTTTATTGTTGAAAGTATTACATATATCCCCTACTTTCCCCCTCATTGACCTCTTCTAGACCACCTCCACCCCACACCCTAGGCCTTCACCACCCTATTGTCTTTGTCCATGGGCTATGCATATATGCACACTAATTCCTTGATCTTTTTCCACCCACTCACCCTCTCACCCACCCTCCCCCACCTTACCTCTGAGATTCCAGTTTGTTCCATGCTTCTATGTCTCTGGATCTTTTTTGTGCATCAAGTTATTTTGTTCATTAGATTCCACATGTGAGTGAGATCATGTGATACTTGTCTTTCTCTGGCTGGCCATTTCACTTAATATAATACTCTTCAGGTCCCTCCATGCTGTCTCGAAAGTGTGAGATATCCTCCTTTTTTACTGCTGCATAGTATTCCATGGTATAAATGTACCACAGCTTTTTTTTTTTTTATCCACGCATGTACTGATGGGCACTTGGGCTTTTTCCAGATCTTAGCTGGGGGTGCACACGTTCTTTCTGACTGGTGTTTCAGGTCTCTTAGGATATATTTCTAGAAGTGGGGTCACTGGGTCAAATGGCAGAGGACATGTTTATTACTTTTAGAGAGAGTAAGAGAGGAAGTAAAAAGGGAGGGAAAGAAACATGGACTGGTTGCCTCTCATATGCGACTGAAACCTGGCTGAGAACTGAACCTGTGACCTTTTCGTGTACTGGACAATGCTCCAACTGAGTCACACTGGCCAGGGCCCCCCGTATATTCTTAACGATGCTTTAAAAAGTTCTTTGATCTGCACAACCACCTTGAGAATCTCTATTCTATGCTGGGTAACTGGGCCTCTCAGAGGATGGGGCTGCAGGAACAGGCTGTGGCTGTGCTGGGTCTTCTCCAATGCTCCCCTCTCTCCACAATCTGCATTACATCTGCCTACAGTCATAATATTGCTTAAAAACAATTAGATTTGCATATATGCTGGGCATGGTCAAGTTGATAAAGTATGATTTCGGTGTGTGGGTTCTTTTCAACTAGACTGTAAGCTTCTCAAGGGCAGAAGCTGTGTTGTCATTTCTTTTGCATCCACAGGGCTGATCAGCAGACCCTTCCACCTAGTGCTTCAGTGTTTAAAGAAGTGCCTTTCTATGTTTTATCTCGACTGAACATGGTGCCCACCATCACCCCCTTATCCTTATCACCCCCTCCTTCCCCAAACACCATTCCCAGAAACCTTTGTCCCAGGCTAACTGGCTCTTAGTCTACTTTAAAAAAAATTAGAAAAATTTCAATTACAGTTGACATTCAATATTATATTAATTAGTTTTAGGGGTAGTCTTAGTCTACTTAATGTTGTCTTAGTTATTGTTCCTTGATTCTCTATCAACGAGAATTTCTGGATAAAGCTCTGCAAGTAAAGATTTATATTAAAAAGCAAGACAAAACTGTTAACTACCACCCTGGAGAGGTTAAGGATTTTAGTAACAAGCCACACCTCCTTTAAACAATCTTG